CATCCCTTCCAACCCAATCAAGACAATCCAGACAATCTAGACAATCCGCCCAACAAACTTCTTCCAGGCAACCATCAAAATACAAAATTTTCAAAAATAAATTTTAACAAAAAACATAAAAAATATACAAAAGTCACTAAAAACTAATCTCAGACTCCTAAGTAAAGAGAAAGAGAACAACAAGAAATACTTAATCTTTTAAGAGACTTGAGTAAGAAAACCAGAAGCGGCAAAGAAATAGAAGAAGTCGTGAAAAATCATCAATATTTTTTTGCACTTTGCGAACTTTGGGGGAATCGGCCTTGACCCTGAATTGCAGATCTGTTTTGATGACACAAGAATCACAACATATAATAAAAAATAAACAAAGCAAACACGACAAAAACTATGTGATGAAAATAAACAAAAATGGTAAACAACTATAGCAAACAGCAACAACAAATAACAGTAGTCAAAAAACAACAAATCACATGAAACAAAACAACAACAGAAAGTTCTGAAAAAAACCCATCATAGCAGAATTAACAAAGATGAAAGCAAAAGAAGTACATTAGGAAAAAAACAGAGAGTTATATATCGATTAGTAACCGAAGTATATATAACGATATAAATCACCCCTGCCGATTTATAACGATTGTAATACTAATCGATATATAACAAAAAGAATATAAATTGATATATAATCAAAGCGATTATAATCGATATATAACCTAAATGATTAGAATCATGTTAGGTAATTTATTGATTATAATCGTTTAGGTTATATATCGATTATAATTGATAGATAGCCATAAGCTGATTATAATCGATATGTACTGCTATATTCATAATATTAGAATCGATATACACAAATCATTATATTAAATATTACAGCGATTCACTTTTATATTTATTAACTTAAAGCGAATAAAATTTATATATTTAAATTGAATACAATTTATTTTATATATATAAGATACATTTTGCATGCAATACATAAAAAATTACAAAAAAAAACAACGCCACTAAGAGATTCCAAACAATTCATCCTGTGTATTCTGCGAAAGAATTAAAGAATTACTTCAGGACAGGGAAGTTGTATTGAGGTCAGGTTCAGTGTTGGAATTGGCCTGCGTTAATTGCATTTGTGTTGATTGTTCAGCTTCGTAAGAGCCTGAAGCAAGCTTATTATTAATGATTGTGTTGGCCGATTCTTGATTAGGACCACCGTTATCAAAGTCATTCTAGTATAATAAAGGTTAATATTCATTTTGTAGTTACAATCGATATGTTACAAATACTTACCAAATAGTGCACCATGCGACGTTTAATTCGACTTTTGCTACAGACGAGATTTTTCGATTGGGGATTCAATATAATGTCACACATGGCTAGTATGAAAGCACAATGATAGTTTGTAAGAGTAGGGGCAGCAGCTGTGCTGAATGCAGTTCTTGCAATAATTGCAACCCAGAAAACACCTTTATCATCTTGTTTATAGAGCGCACAATAGCAATCGTATACTTCTTAGCTTTGCTTCCACCTTACTATATTCTCAGCACTAATATTGCTTCTGAGGCGAGGAAGCTTTTCGTGACCAAATACACTCCAAATTGCCGAACGTATGTTCTGCAACACTGAACCACACAGGTTCTTCATTTTTTGTAAGAGCTATTGGAAATTGAGCACCATAAAAAATGCTTAGACCTATTGAAAACGATTGATAACGATATAAAACGATATATACAGGTGTCAAATATTATTGCTTCTCTGAGAACACTACACACTATGGAACCGGTTTGCAAAATCGTTAGCACTTAAGTTCGCCATGAATTCAGTGAACTTTTTGTTCAAGTAGTCCTTGAGGGACTCTTTTATTTCATCTTGGGTAGGATATATTACATGTGGGAAAAGGCATTTGACAACGCTAATATATACTTCCTGCGAAAATATAAAAACAAAAACACTTAGAATATGCCAAAAAAAAAAATGCTCAGAATATGCCAAAAACAAAAAGTGCTCAAAATATGCCCTTGCTTTCTATAATACTTACATCTCATACTTTGGGCAAAAGATCCTCGCCTTGAATGCCTTGAGTGCCTTGAACGTTTTTGTGCTGCATTTCATTCCTCAGATCTTGAAAATCGTCGCTTAACTGCCTGATCAGGAGGTATATTTGGCAGTTTTGAGCGAAAAGACATTCTCTGTCCTCAGCTTCACGACGACGATGACTTGAACGAGCTCAAAAAGGTAACAAAAAAAAAAGTTTCAAAAAAAAAAAAAAATTAGATCAAAAAATCAATATTCAAAAATCAAAAAAAAAAAAAACTTTTTATACCATCAAGATTATGTGAATGATTTTGATTGGAAGATCGACAATCAGGTGATGCTGATCTTTCACGTGTTTGCTGCGGCTACGGCGATGACGATCACGATGCACGAGAGGTAGGTTGAGAAGGTGATGGTTGCCTAGAATAAGTTTGTTGGACAAATTGTCTGGAAGGTGATGGTTGCCTGGAAGAAGTTTGTTGGGCGGATTGTCTAGATTGTCTGGATTGTCTTGATTGGGTTGGAAGGGATG